GTCCGTTACGCACTCCTTTCCTGGCTTTTGAACAAGATTAGAGGTTACTTCACCTTCATACTTCTGACGTCTTTTCTTTCTTTTTTTCTTCTAAACAGGGGTGAGTAGGTTTACCTATCATCTAGTTCACAGTCCTCTCCGGTTTTTTGAACAGGAATAGAGATTACTTCCTAGTTCTCTGTTTAGCATTGGGTATACGGTTCCTCCTAAAGTCTTCTCATTCTCTTTCACCCGCATTAGGTCATTGCGTCTTAGTGGCATTATCGCCTTACTTGGGGTGAATAGATTAAAAAAAATAAAAATATGGAAGGGGAAAATTTAGGAAAATAGAAACTAGAAAAGAGACGACAATTACAAAAGGAATAAATGGAAGGACAAGAGAGAAGGAAACAGAGATTATAAGGAATTCAAACAGATTTGATTAAAAAGAACAAAAGGTAAAAAAAAAAAATTACGAATAAGAAATTTGAAAAACAAAATATAAAACTGTCTATATTTCTGAAATGAGGTATTATGTAAACTATTTACATTACTCGGACTATTGTCCTCATCTTTGTCGCCATATTCATTACAATGTTTCGGCCGTTGTACGCTCCAGCCTTCTTCAGGTGGTTGGAATGTCGAACTGAACCCTTTATTCCGCTGACTGGGGTAGACTGTTCTAGTTCCACGTGCCATGTTTTAATAGATGTCAGTTATCAGTTATCTCTTGTTAATTCCGCTCTGAAATTTTTCCACTGCCTTAACCGGGTATTGAACTCACACTCTTTGGGTCCTGTCACTGGATCTAACTAACGCCTTTATCCACTGTGCAAATGTGACCTTGAGGACACTGGATAAAGGCGTTAATAAGATCCAGTGACAGGACCCAATGAGTGTGACAAAGATGGGGACAATAGTCCGAATAATGTAAATAGTGAAAATATAAAACGTAATTCAATGAAAATGAAATAAGATTGATTAGTTTTTTTACGGTTTATCAACCATTTAGAGGTTATTTAAAACTAGAAAAAAAAACTTTAGATTGTATGAATGGTTTGAAGATAAAAAATAATTTACGTATGTAAGTAAATATAACGAACTCCACTCGAATTAGAATTGCTCTCTCCGATTTCCAATTCGTAGCCATTATCCACTAAGTCACCCACACATCCGAGCTTACAGCACCGAGTATACCAAAGGTGTTACCCATCTATGTACTGACCAGTTTCGACGTTGCTTATGTTTGTTGAAAATGAAATAATAGTAAATAACTAGAATGAAGAATGAAGAAAAACAAAGAATAAAGTAAAAAAGAATAGGAATGAGGTACAAGATTGACGAATAAAGAGAAAGAATAAAAAATAAAGGAAAAATGAAGAATAAAGAACGAGAAGAAAGAATAAAGAAAAACAAAAAGGAAAAAAATGAAGATCATGAATAAAGAATTAGAATAAGGAATAAAGAAGAAAAATGAAGAACGAGAATAAAAAATAAAGAATAAAGAAAGAGAAGAAAGAATGAAAAGTAAAGAAAAATGAAGAAAAATAATAAAGAATAAAGAAAGAGAAGGAAGAATAAAAACTAAAGGAAAAAGAAAAAATGATGAAAAATGATGAAGAATAAAGAACGAGAAGTAAGAATAAAAAATAAATAAAAAATGAAGGAAAATGAAGAATAAAAAACGAGAAGGACGAATAAAAAGTAAAGAAAAAAGAAATAAATGAAGGAAAATGATGAAGAATAAAAAACGAGAAGGACGAATAAAAAGTAAAGAAAAATGAAGGAAAATGATGAAGAATAAAAAACGAGAAGGACGAATAAAAAGTAAAGAAAAAAGAAATAAATGAAGGAAAATGATAAAGAATAAAGAACGAGAAAGAAGATAAAATTTATGATGAACGATCAAGAAAAGAATAAATATTATACAAAATAAAATAAAATCTTAAAATAATAAAATAAAAATAAGCAATTAGGTCTTTAAAAAGTTAGGTCTAAAATAATAATAATAATAATAATAAGAAGAAGAAGAAGAAGAAGAAGAAGAAGAAGAAGACGAAGAAGAAGAAGAAGAGGGAGGAGGAGGAGAGGAGGAGTGTGGAGAAGGCGTATGTGGAGGCGAAAATGATGAAGGAAAGTGGAAAAACTAAAAGGAACAAGTTTGAACTGTTTGAATCAGATATAAGCAACGTGTTTGACAAGCACAAATGCTTGTCAAATTAACACGACGTTGCTAAATGTTGCGATAACAATTCGCAATTTAAACACGTTCAGCACATTCCGAAAACCGTTGGCAGACATTTATGAGAGGAAGTAACAGAAACGCAAATATGTCTTGGACACATCACATACACACAAACACACACACAAACAAACAAACAAACACACACACAATTGATATGATAAAAAATTCTCTGAACAAATTCCAAATACGGTTCCCGCATAATGATGGAATTGATAAAAACGGAATTTGATAACGAGGAACATACACGTAAAACCGTGTTTAAGATAGGACCTCAAAGAAGTGTGAAGACTAAATTTTCAAAAAAAATAAAAAATAAAATAAAAAATAAAAAATAAAATAAAAACATCGACCTGTTGTTTTAACTCAAGAATTAATAAAGTTATTGTTGTTGATTGGCTTACGGATTAGTCCGTAGCTGTTGAAAATCTTGATTACAGCTGAAATTAAAATGCCGGCTAACAACGTGAATTCTAAAAGTTGTCTTTTATTCATGGTTTATGATTTAATTCCTTTTTTATTCTTTATCTTCCCCACATATAAACTGTGCTTCTTACATTGTAACTTTCTACCTCGAATGGCACTGCGGCCTTGTACAGGCCTCTGATTCAGAAGTTTTGAGGAACGTGGAACCACGCCTTAATTGTTGTTGTTCCCAGATCAACCCTGACACGGGGTTATAGCACCTGTTAAGGTCCTATCTATGGGCAAATATTGAGACCCTAAACTGGGGTCAAAACATTATCAAAGTATAAAATACATTTTTGTAGTAAGAATATCAGTAACAGATTTTCATAGTAAAAAAAAATACCAGCAAGACACCTTTGAAAAAAAATACCAATAATATTAAATTTCGGCATTAATGACCCATAATGTGTTGATATGTCGTTAAATATAACCACCTAAAGTAAACCCCGGCTTTGTACAAGATGAACATCACCGTAAAAAGAAAATATACACTTCTCAGTTTCAGTTTTCCTTTCTTTTTAATCATCAATTATTTTTCTGTGTTTCTTTCCATTAAAAACTAATTTAATTTTTCCTCTTGTTGCTTTTGTTCATTGATTCTTGTCACTTATTCTTTTTCTTCCTTCACATCATTCTAATTACTTCCGCTTTCTTTCTTCTCATTTTCCCCGTCATTGTCCCGCAGCCGTTTCAGTATTCATCGCCCGGTTCACACTCCTTCTCCGTCTTTTGAAAAAGGAATAGATGTTTATCCTTTGTTACCTGTTTAGGAATGGATTTCCGATTCCTTCTCTAAAAGTCTTCTATTTTTATATTTCTTCACTCCGGTAACTCCTTGCGTCTTAGTGACGTTATCGCCTTACTTGAGATGAAATGATTGAAAAAAAAAAAACAAAAAAAAACTGGATCTCAGAAATCCACAATAGTACGCAGTAACAAATCACGTCATTGTTAAATATAATCCGATGTAAAGAAAACATACGATTAAAGTATCAGTCATTTATGTGCTATGCGTGATACACGCTTAGGCGATCATGTATCTTTCGATATATAACAGACGAGGTAATTTTTTCCCCGCAGTAGGTTGCCATTTCGGTCTGTCCTGGTATTTACCCATAGCTGGGGGAGAAGAAGAGGATTCATAACTTTCCCAAAGGTATTAATTAGCACGTAAGTGAATTTCAGTTATTTGCCATGCATGATACACGCTTAGGCAATCATGTATCTTTCGATACATGACCGATGGGGTAAATATTTGTTCCGCAGTAGGTTGCCATTTCTTTCTGAAGGGTATTAGGAGGTAAGTGAATGTTATGGATTCAACTGGAATTCGAACTCAGTTCTCCAATTTCCCAACCCGATCCGCTATTCATTACACCACTTGAGTACATATAAATTTCACTCTTCCTCTTCTTCTTCTTCTTCTTCTTCTTATTATTATTATTATTATTATTATTATTATTATTATTATTTTTTTTTTTTTTTTTAATCTGATTTCTGCGTTTACAATTTCTTTCAGGTCTCGCTTGGGGACCAAGGAATATTTCCACTGACAAAAAAAAAAAAAGATTAATGAATGTTTTTAATGCTCCTGAGGCATGTCCTTAAGGACCAGTCCTTGGCAATCAGGGATTGTTGATGTCTTCCCACATTTTCGCGATTTAAATATTTAAAGGTCCATGGATTGACAATTTTGAATATCTTCAAAAGATAGTCTGGCTGCCATCAGGAGAGAATAATATATTATTATTTTTTTTTTTTTTTTTTAATCGATAATTATGAATGAATGCTTTTAATGCCAGTCACGAAGGATATTGGAATGGTTCCTAACTTTTCGTTTTCTTATATATAAATTACCGCGGAAGAGTGTAAGGCTAGAGAATCTTATCTAGTCTTTTATTTAATCGATAATTATGTGGTAGTCTATGGAATGGTTTCATGCCCTTCACAAGAGTGTAACCGGAATTTGAACAACCGATTACACATCGCTTGCCGATAACTTAGAATGAATACAAGGAATCGTTTTGCAAACTTTCAAAGTCGTTGAATTTTAGTTGAGGGAAATATGTGGCGTTCAGTTATTTTCCTGACCCCAAACTGACCGCGCTTCCCCCACATTTTCAAAACTTTATAGTAGCATTGCGAAGAGCTGTAGCCTAAAAGAAATGTCCTCATTGGTCAATTGTAAAATCAGAATACGTTTTCTTTTCTTAACAAGAATTATTTTCGCATTTTTCACTTCACTTAACAAGAATTATTTTCGTATTCTTTTTATGAGAGTTCATTTTAGATGATATATACACATTGTAGCTTATGGCCATATCACACTCAAACGCCCATTCTCGTCCTATCACCGAAGTTAAGCAACGTTGAACTTGGTCAGTAATAGGTAAGTGACCGCTTGGGAATACCAGATGTAAATCTCTACAAACACGCACAACGTATTTGCAACGTTATAGAAAGTCTGTGGTCTAGTGGATAAAGACGTTGGTTTGATCCATTGATTAGACCGAAAGAGTAGTGAGTTCAATACCAGGCCTCGGGATTGGTAAAGCAAAAATTGGAGAGTTGAGTTAAATGGAAATACCTAAAACAGCCGAAAGAGGCATGACACGTGGCACTAGAACAGTCTACCCTGGTGGACGAAATAAAGGGTTCGGTTTGAAATTCCAATCACCTGAAGAAAGCCGGAGCGTACAACGGCGGACACGTTGTGAATATGGCAATGAAGATGAGGATAACAGCCCAAATAATGGGGGGGAAGTTGTTAATTTCAAATCTTTTCATTTGTACCGCCATACTTCTTAAAATAATCGACCAGCATTCATATTTGTGATTTCTATTGCAATATTTTGCTAAAGTTGATGAGCTCAAATACTTAACGACGCGATAGGGGAAATTCTACGGATATTGTATTGTCGTAGAACTCGCCATGGTCTTATCCAATGATTAAGTTAATAACATCATCAGTTATGTGCCATGCGTGATACACGCTTATGTGGTCATGTATTTTTCGATACATGACTGACGAGGCAGATTTTTTCCCGCAGTAGATTGCCATCTCTTTCTGCGGTAGACTAGCTGCCATGCAAGGCTATAGAACCCGGTCTGTCCTGCTAATTCTCCTGGGGGACAAGAGGAGGATTCATACCTTTTGCAAGGGTATTAGCATGTAAGTGAATGTAATGGATTCGACTGGGATTCGAACTAGGCTCTACCGATTCCTCAATCCGAACAGCTATCCATTACTCCACGAAAACCGTGAATTTTTCACGGTTCTTTCAAGTCTCAAGAACAAGAAAGGTATCCATCGCGTATGCATTTCCTAAGTGGAAAGCTCTAAATGCTGCATTTAAAAAGAAACTCATGTTTGTAAGGTGTAATATTTCAAGCACGTCCCATTTTACGCATGTTGATCACTTCTCTGGTGGACAGAAATTTACATCTATTATTTTTCACGATTATAGCCCACGATGATTATTACAGTGTTTAAATCAATGTTTAACCCAAATCTAACTTTTTGTTTTCTTCTTTTCATGTCAGGCATTTTAATCCTTTTCTTCTCACACGCAAATCTGTTTCAGTTCATCTCTGACTACGTGCACCACGAGATATACGCTCCACCTATTTCTCTTTGTGTGCTTATCATTCTTCGTTCTCTCGATTCTGCTTCTTAACTCTTGTCTCGGGTCCCCATTACAAAACTCTTTAATAAGAAAACGCGGAAATCACTGGACCTGAAGGGAACCACAGTGAAGTCAAATGGAAAAAAAGAAAACGCAAAGGAAATAGAGAAGAGACAAAAACCTCCAAGAACCCAGAGAATTTTTTTTTCTTATTTTAAATTCGCGTTCTACTTTTGGAATTGCTAGACCGATACCAATTCATATGGCATTGTCTAAGATATGTCATTGGCATTCTCTGTTCAAAAACAATGTAATGTACGGCTAGAGATAGAATGTGTGGGCGCGCACGCGCGTGTGTATATGTGAAAGACAATATAATCGCGGAGTGGGAGAAGTGAAGCACGTGAAGAAAAAGGAATATAGAAAGCGAAGAATTGGTAAGGTGAAGACCAAGTTAAGAAATAAAATATCGAGAGAAGGAGAGTAATGTAAAGAAGAAGAGTAACGTAAAGAAGGAGAGTAATGTAAAGAAGAGGAGTAACATAAAGAAGGAGAGTAATATAAAGAAGAGGAGTAACGTAAAGAAGGAGAGTAAGGTAAAGAAGGAGAGTAATGTAAGAAGGAGAGTAACAAAGAAAGAGAGTAATTTAACGAAGAATAACGTAAAGAAGGAGAGTAATTAAAAGAAGAATAACGTAAAGAAGGAGAGTAATTAAAAGAAGAGTAACATAAAGAAGGAGAGTAATATAAAGAAGAATAACATAAAAAAGGAGAGTAATATAAAGAAGAGTAACGTAAAGAAGGAGAGTAATGTAAAGAAGACGAGTAACGTAACGAAGGAGAGTAATATAAAGAATAATAACGTCAGAAGGAGAGTAATGTAAACAAGGAGAGTAATATAAAGAAGGAGAGCAATGTAAAAAAGAAGAGTAACGTAAAGAAGGAGAGTAATGTAAAGAAGAAGAGTAACGTAAAAAAGGAGAGTAATGTAAAAAAAGAAGAGTAACGTAAAGAAGGAGAGCAATGTAAAGAAAGATGATAGGATGACAAACGAAAAAAAAAGAGAAGTCATAGGAAAAATTTAACTTTAAGAGCCACTTTTATCTCCTGCCTCAATAAACCTTTTCAGATTTCTTTTTAAGCCTCTCCTTTTCGCGTATCTATTGCCTCTACCTTTTGCTCCTCTCATCGCTCAATGTGTACGTTTTCCTCCGCATGTTTTTAGGATTATTTGCTTCTATATTTTTCTTCTTTTTTGGGACATACATCCATCCATATTATAATTCTTATTACATTTCTTTCTTTCTTTTTAAATCACATCATCCTTTTATCTTTCATATCTCTTTCTTTCTATATTCTTATAGGGACGTCCATATTTTTATTGTCAACATCGTACATGTTATTCCACTCTTCTTGGCCATCTCTATTCTTCTTTAAGTTAATTTATCTTTAATTTCATTCTCGTACGATCAAAAAAAATTAAGCAACATCGAGCAGGGTCAGTAACTAGAAGGGTAACCGCTTACGAATACCAAGCAATGTAAGCTTGTATGCGCAGTTGGTATTAAGAGCTTACGAGAATATCACATGAAAATATATGTTCTCGTACGATCACTGAAGTTAAGCAACGTCGATCCTCGTCAATAACTAGAAGGGTACCTAGGAATACTAGGTGCTTTAAACTTAGGTGTGCGGGTAGTGTAATTCATAACAGCTCGGAATTAAACATGCGAGAGCCGAATTCCAATTCAAGTCGGGTTTGCTATATTCACTTAAGAGCAAATCCCTTTGGGCAAGCCATAAATCCCCCTCGTCTTACCCCAGCTATGGATTAATTAGTAAGAGTTTAGCAGTAAATCATTACTATCTCCAAAAAATAGTAGAATGTAAAAAATGTGTTCTAGCTTTAAATAAGCTGCAAAAGGTTGATAAGCCGTAAAAATCAATCAATGAGTCATTTTAGTAAAAAAATTTAATCTTTTGCTTTTTTTTTGATTTTTGACAAATTTTTGGTTTTGTTTGTTTTGCCCGGTTTCTCTTTTCTTCTTACTATATTTGCTTACATCTTTCCACACTTCTTTTCAGTTTTTACATATTTTCGCATCTTTTTTGCATCTTTCAAATCTTTTTGCATTTCTTTGCATCTTTGCATCTTTCAAATCTTTTCGCATCTTGTTTGCATCTTTCAAATCTTTTTACATCTTCTTTGCATCTTTCAAACCTTTTCGCATCTTCTTTGTATCTTTCAAATTTTTTTCGCATCTTGTTTGCATCTTTCAAATATTTTTACATCTTGTTTGCATCTTCTTTGCATCGTTCAAATCGTTTTACATCTTCTTTTCATCTTCTTTTCATCATCTTTCAAATCTTTTTACATCTTTTCATCTTTCAAATATTTTTATATCTTTTTTTCATCTTCTTTGCATCTTTCAAATCTTTTTACATCTTGTTTGCATCTTTCAAATATTTTTACATTTTGTTTGCATCTTCTTTGCACCGTTCAAATCTTTTTACATCTTTTTTTCATCTTCTTTGCATCTTTCAAATATTTTTTTACATCTAGTTTCCATCTTGTTTGCATCTTGTTTGCATCGTTCAAATCTTTTTACATCTTCTTTTCATCTTTTTTGCATCTTTCAAATCTTTTTTACATCTGATTATCTACTGTGTTACAAGGTAAGGATTTATAAAAAGTAATAAAATAATTATTCGTGCCAAGACATATAATCATCTTTGGATAAACTGGATTCCAACTGTTTTGGAACATAGATCATCAGCTTCAACAAAATATACGGAACGATTTACGCCATATTATTCAATCAGAAGACAAACTTACATATATTCCTTTAGAGGTTAAATTATAATTTTAAATTAGCTTAAATTTTTTTTTTATGAATACAATCTCATGAAATGTGAGATGTAACAGAATGGGTGTGGCTATCCTAGATTCAGGAGGGTAGCACGAGAACCTTTCAACGGCCTTGCTCAGGCTACCAGATAAGTTATAACTATTAAAGGTAGACATATATAAGATGAGTATGGTATATTTATTAGATAATTGCCTAATGAAAATTTTATCAACATGGATTTAGAAATACTAATTTGCGTGTGGGAACATTGACTTTCATTATAAAATTTTATATGATATTTTAAATGAAATTTTAAATGACAGAATTTTCCTTTTTATATGGTAAATATTTTTTCGCATGCTTTGTACGTTTCTCTTTTAACGTTCTTTTTATGAATTTATTTCTAAATCGTGCTATGTTCTTGTCAAACATTTAATATCGCCTTCTTTGTGTATAGTTTTTATTTGCATTTTTTGTTCTTATTTTAACATTTTTTAGGTTTTCCTTTTTAATTATACTATTTGAAATTTTTTATAGATTTTTCTACGAATTTAATTCTGATATTTACATTATTTCCAGTCAATTTAAATCATATACATATATATTGTGTGTGTATGTGTTTGTATATATATATATATATATATATATATATATATATATATATATATATATATATATATGTGTGTGTGTGTGTGTGTGTATGTGTGTTTGTCTATATATATATATATATATATAAATATATATATATATATATATATTAAATTATATATATATATACATATATATATATATATATATATATATATATATATATATATATATATATATATATATATATATATATGTGTGTGTGTGTGTGTGTGTGTGTGTGTGTGTGTGTCTATATATATATTTATATATTATGTCTATATATATATATATATAAATATATATATATATATA